GAAACAAGAAGGATAAACAGGAGACTGACGTAATTTTCCCCACTTGATCCTCCCGCGAGAGCCATATTTTGTGGACAAATGAGTGAGATAAAGGATATGTGGCGGATGACCTCGCTTTTGTTCAAAAACGCGCAAACCGAATTTGAGGCGCTCACCAATGGTGATGTTCCACACAAAAATGCACTTAAAGGCACACGCTCTTGTTTGAGGAAGATGAAGCTTTGTACTGATACTATGGTATTTTATTGTTGTTGGCATTAACTTCAACGCTTATGGATCGGGCTGCGGGATATGCCTAAATCGCGAAGCAGTTTAGTGGTAAGTCTGGGCCAAAGACGATGGTTAGCTGCCATTCGACATCTCGAGCTTTGCCCACCGTATTATGACCTCTAGGCCTTTTCAACACCCATTGATTATCTCATGCGCTTTTGTTCTGTTCGACTTTCCGAGAAGTGTTGGGGAATACGAGACTTTTTAATGGGGAATACTTGCCTCTTTTGTTCTGTTTGTAATAAAACCCCTTAACCTCATAGCAAACTTTGAGGTTTTGAAGGTCTTGGTCTATGACGAAGGTCCTGACCGCCTTGAAGACGTCAGTGGTCATCAGGACACTCCGTAATCATCTTTCGCCCTGATGGTATTTAACTTACTGGTCACCTTCGGATGCTATGTTGTCTGATCAGGATTCAACTTCATGTTTGGAAAATATCGTCTGTTCTGGCGGGCCCTGACCGTTTGGAGGAATGTGAGCCGTGCCTCAGGACGGCACATTGAAGGGATCGCGTTTCCCACTCCGGTAGTGTCGCCACGTTTGCGTCGCATCCCCGCCCCCATGTCATTATCCGGGGGCTGTTTGAGGTCAAGAGATCTGTAGCATTGTGAGAACGATAGCGTTCGGTCAGGCAAAGCGCCTTTAGGACATTGGCAAGGGTCCAGACATAGTTTGGTGTCGCTGGGGGATGCGATGCATGGTTTGATGTTGCTGCGGGATGCGATGCATGGTTTGATGTCGCTGCGGGGGTGCGATGCATGGTTTGATGTCGCTGCGGGATGCGATGCATGGTTTGATGTCGCTGCGGGATGCGATGCATGAGGCGGTGGGGCGAATGGGTTAACCAAAGCGGCTTATAGTTTCCCAGATGTCGCCATCAATGCATGGACGCTGATTATGGGACGATAGTGAAGTTGTTGACGCAGCTGCGTTAACTACAGCACATCTAGAAACCAGCGGTGCGATTCCCAGCGGTGCCCTGCCCTTGCTGCCGGGGTGTGAAAGGCAGGTGACGCGATATGGTGTCGGTAGCTGAGTGCGTCGTAAAGCTCTCATGAGACACATACGCTGCGGGTTGAAGTGGACACAAATGAGTTGAGATCGGGGTGTCTTAAGAGTTTTTGTTTTTACCACCTATAAGCAGAGCACGAAGTGTGCCTTAAGCCCAGCGGGCTATCTGATATCCCGGTTTAGCGAGGTTTCAGTGCAGTGAGAGGCACTATACTCTCGAATTACGTAACTCCCGTAGTCGTGATCACTGACCTGCGCATATCTCTCACTCCCAGGGTCATCTCTGTTATCTGTAGCCCAAATCTCCGAATCGCAGACGCAATGTACTACCTGGGAGAGTCGATCATGACAAACTAGGGCCCGCACGAGCGGCCACGGTTATCAAGGTGTCATTTTGATCGTTCCGCTCTTTATGACGATCTCTTTAGAATTCCCAGTGTGATGTAACGCGGCCATTTGACACCCTCGAACTCCGTGACCACCGTGGCGTCGTCACGAACCCCTTGGTTTCCGCGCCGGCGTCGCCGCTGCACCCGTGATCCAACCGCGGCAGGGGCGCGGAGAGAAAGGCGCAACTGAACAGCCAATCCCTAACCGCAGGTTGGCGCACCTGTCGACTGGCGGGGCTAGCGGCCGGTGGGCTGGTGGGCGCGGAAGCAGGCTGGCACACCCGCCGCATGCCGCCGCCCCGCACGCCCCTTAAAACACCGCCAAACGAGTCGCGTGGCCCGCCCGTCGCACGCTTCAAGCCTGAGGCTTTTCGGGGCAATCTTTTGAGCTTGCCGCAACGCGGTTAGCGGTTGGCTTCTGGAACACATGCGAGCAGAGAAGAAATCGGGGTAGGCTGCACGTTGCGGTGGGATTCCGGGGGCGTCTTGCGAAGCGAAGCAGCATTCTGTCTCCAGGGAAGTCACCAATGGTGACGGCACTGGCTGAAACACAGCGTAAAATATGACATCATAGCCGCAAAGATAGCGGTGTGAATGTTGATCCTTCGCTATAGCCGGTGGCCACAACTCCCCTGGACTTCGGAGCCTACTTCGTTCGGAAGAATTGCGTCAGCAGTAATCTGAGGAAACTGGCTGTCTGGTACGGGCTAAGGACTTATACCGCTACTACCAGTGATGGACTTAAACCGCCAATGCCAGCGAGGTTAGAACAGATCAGGGTCATTTCAAGAGTATAACGGACGAACTTGAGAAGTCTCTTCCTGTCTCTTCTCCATCCTTCCTTTTAACTCCCAGCATGTCCCCCCTCTCTCTTCTCTCTCTCCTCTCTCTCTCTCTCTCTCTCTCTCTCTCTCTCTCCTCTCTCTCTCTCTCTCTCTCTCTCTCTCTCTCTCTCTCTCTCTCTCTCTCTCTCTCTCTCTCTCTCTCTCTCTCTCTCTCTCTCTCTCTCTCTCTCTCTCTCTCTCTCTCTCTCTCTCTCTCTCTCTCTCTCTTCTTTCTTTCTCTCTCGCTGCTTCCTTTGCTCTGTACCCTTTGCTATTTTCCTTTAACAGAACATTTAACATTGGACAATGAAGCCTGCCCAAGAATACACAGACAGTAATGTACAGTTTAATACATATTGCTGTTACTTTAACACAACTTTCTTAAGTCAAAATCACTCTAAAATGCACTTGTGCCTTGGGCGTTTGCTGTCTTTTCGTCAAATTTGCTTGCTGTCAAGCAATGAGAGCAGCATAGACTCAGAGTGAGCGGTCTTATTTGTGTTCTCAGTTGTCACCATTTCTTAATTATCGTGAAATGCGAAGGGCATTTACTGCATGCAGAAGCAAAGCTGCCTGCTGGCGTCATCATTTCTATACTGAAATGACTTGTAGACACCGGCTGTTGAAATCCTTAGCGTAAATGGGATGTGCATACCCACATTGAATTCATGTGGTGTGCCGATGCTCTCCATTTCTGAGCGTCTGATAATCACAGACTTCTGGCCAGAAAAGGGACTCTTCTGTCGTCAAACATGTCTGCTGGCGTCAACATGCCCTGTTTGGGTGAGCACATGACAATGTCTCCGCTTATGTTTGAGAGGAAAGGTGAGAAATAGGTCGTGATAATTGACACTGATCGAATCACATCTTGTTTCGTCCGATTCACGCCCATGCAAAATCGTCGATGCATTAATACATTAATGTGTTTCATTTCCATGATTGCCATCTGTTTATGGCTGGGGTCGTGACACGACCGTGCTTGTTTATGGCTGGGGCCGTGACACGACCGTGCTGGCTGTAAGCCAAAGGTATCGACCTGGCAGAAGCCACGTCAGCGGCACGGACAGCCGACCGACGAGAAGTAGAAGGCACAGACAGCCGACCGACGAGAAGTGGGAGGCACAGGTAGCCGACCGACGAGAAGTGGAAGGCACGGAAATCCGACCGACGAGAAGTGGGAGGCACAGACAGCCGACCGACGAGAAGTAGAAGGCACAGACAGCCGACCGACGAGAAGTGGAAGGCACAGACAGTCGACCGACGAGAAGTGGGAGGTACAGACAGCCGATCGACGAAAAGTGGGAGGCACAGAAAGCCGACCGACGAGAAGTGGAAGCGACCATTCGCCGGCAGCGAGCGGTGGTGATGTTGTCTGTGGAGACGCAAACAGGCCGAGCTCACCAGGGTTTACAAACCCGCGTGCTCGGCGACTGATGAGCGGAACCATGCTACCCAGGACAAGTGAAGACAGCAGGCTATGCGCTAGAGAAAGTCATTGAACTCGGCGATTAGTTTTTGCCGCAGCGACGTTGAGAAGACCGCGTGCCTTTGAGCATCAATGGTGGAGACAAGGCACGCTGAGTGGTTCAGAAAGTATGAGCACCCCTGGAGCCTGAAGCAGTCGAATCTTGTACCATCGCGCCAGCGGCGCCGTCGGTCAGGACCTCAGCTCCCGCGGGCTTGATGGACGCGGCGTAATGGTCAAGCAAGAACTGCGAACACTTCATGTCAGTCGTCGCATAATTTCCAGGCCGTTGCAAAAAATACCACTTCCAGACTTCTTTGATAAGGCGAGCGAATGGTCGTGTTCGATTTGCCCTTTTACTTGGACAACGCTCAGCCATGATCAGCCCGTCCTTTTGAGCATAACGAACTTCTCACTTCCGAGCAGGATGGCAGTGTCACTGGTCCATTTTGAAGTCGCTGGAGGATAGATTTGACAGATAAGACGGCGTTGTTCATGCAAATCTGTGGCAGATATCTGAGTACTCAAAGACCACACGCCTGGAGGGATAGTCGTGTCAAAGGCACGTATTTTTGCGCAATGCGGGGACCGTTCTCGACAACCTCCGCTACGTCAGCGGCCTTACCAGCCTGGGAAGCCCTGGAAGGGTAACAGAAAAGGCTATCACAGGGTATATGCAGAGTGACTGAGACGGACAGGTAATCAACGAAAGGGGACCTCAGGGTCAGCTGGTCGTGGACCAGCGGCTGCTGGAACAGGTTCGCATTCGCTGAACTGTTGGACCGACGTGGACAGTCGGCCAGTGAGATGGAAGGGACCGGACAGTCGTCAACACCGCTGTCGTCCTGGTTATCCCGCAGGATGTGCTAACCAACGGTCCAGTGAAGACTTATGGCACCACACGTACATAAGCACTGTCCAGCAGGCCATCAGCCAGCCGTCCGCGCTGCGTTTGAAGAGATGTCGTGCTGATGACAGAGCATAATTCGTCGCCGAAACCGGGCCATGCTCGAGCTGCCTCCGTGCCAATCACATCTGTAGGTCGTACTAGTCTTTCCAAAACTCATAGGTACTTCGCAGGACTGCCAGCTGTGGTGATGTGTATCACAAATAACCAACAGGATTAAAGGGAGTGTTTCACATTTGAAGATATTCAAGCAATAGCAGGTATGGGTGAAATAAGCTCATTTACAATCGTTGATATTTTTAAGTGGAAAAGACTGTCCTGGACGACAATAATTTTCTTTTTGGGAAATATGTTTCTCAATAGATCACTCGTTAATTGCGTCATGGAACGTTCGCATGACGCTGGGGGGGGGGGGGGGGACTGCCGAACAGTAGCACAGGCATGGGGGGGAAGGTGACGCGTTTCCCTCCTTAAGTTCCTAGGGGCCCTTCGGGCCTCTCGGAACCTACGATTAAGTGCCCGATGTGAGGCCCCAAGGGACCCTAAAAGCCAGCCAGAGGTCTCATTCAAATCCTCGTCCCGCAGGGCTGGGTACTCATATGCCAGCCAGAGGGCCCTGCGCGCTGATCAGTGGTCTGCTGAGTCGATAAAGGCCTATATTTCGGTCAGACTCCACCAGTAACGAACAGTTGATTCCATGGCGGTATCGGTCTAAGGGTCCATTTTCCAAGCAGGGACAAAGACGGAGTCAGTGATTTACATTGCTTGGGGCCCCACGAAGTCTAACAGGGGTCCTGTGTTTTCAAGGGGCTCCGAGCCGGCCAGAGACAGTGTTCGAGGAGGACCGAAGAGCCTAGAGGGTCCACCAAAAGCGCGTAACGCGAGCACAAAGTGGGTAACAGGACATTCTGGTCAACAGTGGACCTCGGATCAGTCATGGAAAGATGTGTTCGAAAGGGTCGGGACGAGAGCCCTAATGTCAGATTTCCTAATGTCAGAGGGTCTCTCGCGTTGGTCGGGGCCCTCTGACAACTGGAGGAAACAAGAACTGATGATGAGCGCTCACGTTGAGGTCATGGTCCCACTGCCGAACGGTAGGCCCTCCAACCCTTTTCCGGCATGGGCCTGTTAAGCCCAGCTGGGGTCTATGTGCCAATTATTTGACCACCTGCGGTGAGCAGGATTGTTTTTGCGTTAATGACGGTTCTTGCTTCGTTCCGGGGTCAAATGCGCGGGTCAGAAGGCTTCCCGCGTCAGAGAGCGGGCCAATATGATAGGACGTATCCCTCTAAGGGCCTGCGGATCGGCCAGGGGATACCGCCCCGTGTCGCCAGAAAGACGGCCAGAAAACACACTGCGGTTGGACAGAATGGCCCCTTAGCTCCTAACCGGGAACACTAATGCCCCGTAGTGTTGTGCGCAAAGGGACCCCTATACCGGAGAGAAATAAGAGGTCTCACTAGTGCTGAATGGAGTGGGTCGGAATGAGTTCAAAGCGCACGAGGTCAACCCATTTTTCTCTGCGAACGTTCATTATTTTGCAGAATCGACTGGTGAAACAAACATCATCAAAATTTCTGGGCTCGCGCGCCGGGCGCCGATAGTGCAGGGGTTCACGCGCCTGCGTTAACCACTGCGCGTCTGGGAAACCACAGGTAGGGGGCTCGGTTCCCCGCGGTGCTTGCCCTTCCCGCTAGGGTGCGAGGCCGACGGCGCCATATAGCCCCAGCAGCTGAATGCGTCATAGAGCCCCAATAACACGGCCATAATCTCAGGGGGCAAGGATAGCGATGGCTTGGGTGGCAGTTTTCGTAAAACCGAACGGCGTTGGCCACTGCAAGCGACGCCAGGGGGCGAGCTCTTCATTTAACTATCGTAAAATGAAGAGCGCCGGCAACTTATTTCATGCAGTCATTAAACGCGTGATTTTGTCAACTGATTTATTATAAGCCTCGGGCAGAATTGATGTTACGGTGCGTCTGGCCTATGTTCCGGTGATGTAAGGTGAAGCTGTGTGATATATATATATATATATATATAT